TTTTCTCTTTTCCCTGCTTCAGGCTTTTATTTAAACTCTTTGTTCCAAAATGAACAGAGTGGTAAGTCGGAGTCTAATTGTACAGATATAGCTTAGACGTCTAATTTTAAATTAGAGCACACCAGCAAACTCATTTATACACGTCAAATGTTAAAACCAATACTTAAAAAAAAACTTTTTTTCCAAAAAACTTTATATTACAGAAGGTGAAAGAAAGAAAGAACGAAAGAAAGAATCCCTAAGTACTGTTTAAGCAAGTTGATTCACAAACATTAATCCAAATATACACATTACAAAAGTAAAAGAAAATTGTTGCGATGGAGGGAATTGTTTAAAATGAGCTTGATTCCTCCTGCAAAAATCATTATTTGCAACTGAATATTTATGCTTTTATTAAAAAAATAAAGATTTCTCCCACCCACCCAAGCGGAGTGACTGCCAATCACATAAGAACACCCGACTTATTCTTTTTTAAGGTGATGGAGTTAGGGAGGGGGAAAAAAAGGGGTAAGTGTCTTCTCTTGAACACGCAGGACTGAGATACATTGACACCATAATAAATATATTATTTCCCTCAAATAGGAAGTCCGATTTTTTTTAAAAAAAGAAAGAAAAGCCTCGAACTCAAATGGCAACCAGGAAAAGTGACTCGCAGTTTTGACTGACTCGCAGCCGTCTGAATCTGACTTGAGACGTGAGGGTGAGCCTTACGGATTTTATTCCCCCCTCCTCTCTTCCTTCGTCTGCTTGGAAGCAAGTCCCTTTGAAGGCAGCCAGACCTAGCATCGAGCCAACGTGGGCGTAGGATCGCAGCCAAAACCCCAAAACCCACAGTTTTCAAATCATATAGCCTTAGACCTAAAGTTCTCACGGACAGGTATACATTTTACAAACTTCAGGTGAGATGCGTGGATGGCAGGAGGAAGAGCGAGCAGCCGGTTTCTCTTTCTGGGGAGGGTTAAGCGCCTCCTTACTACTTCTCTGTCTTGTACAAGGGCTCTGCTTTTGGTACGGGCGGGGGGGGGTTGCAAACTCTTATTTTTGCTCAGTAGCATCCAGACAGATAGAAAAGAAACCCTCGCGAATACGTCGGGGCCGGGGTGGGGACTTGGCTAGCATATACTCGGAACTGCGGGTCAGGATAGGACGTGGGTTTGGGGGCGAAGGAGAGAGGAGAGGAAAGCGGGCGGGGGGGGGGGGTGGGTAGAGATGATGGAACGGAAAGCAAAGCAACTCCCAAGGTCGTCGGAACCGGGTCTTGCAAGAAGTTGGCAAGGGGGGGAGGGGGGATCTTCCCGGGAAGGAAACTTCGAGGAAGCAGCGACTTCTCGGCCCCTCCAGCCATGCCGGGGAGCAAGCCGGGAGGTCACCGACGTAGGTTCCCGTCTCAGGAGCTGCAGAGAGGGCGAGCCAAGGGGCCAGGCTGCGGGCTTCTCGCGGGGAGCCAGGCGGGGCTGACGGCCGGCGCTCTACTTGCGGCTGCAGTCCTTCTCGGCACCGGGCTCCTCATCAGGGCGCTGATTGTCATAGGGCCGCGGCGTAGGCCGCCGCCGGGTAAGGGTCCAGTTGAGGTTTCCCCATGCCGGGCAGCAGGATGTAGGCCAGGGGCGGCTGGAGTCCCGGGCTGGGCCAGGCGCTGCAATTGCAGGGGATCATGTAGCCGGGGTTGCCGGGAGACGGGTGCGAGTGACTGTGGCCCCCGCTGGCCGCGGCGGCGGCGGCTGCAGCCGCGGCGGCGTGGAAAGCACCTCCAGCCGTCGGGTAAGCCAGCGAGGAAGCCGCGTAGGGCAGTCCGGCCGTCGAACCGCCGCCGCCACCGGAGCCCGCCGACGACGACGACATCTCCGCTGCCATTTTTGAGCCCAGGTCGAGCAGCGAGTAAGGGCTGCCCGCCGCCGCGGCCGCAGCCGCCGCAGCCGCGGCAGCGGCGGAGGGAGGGAAGAAGACGCGGGCGGCTGCAGCGGCGGCGGCGGCGGCTTTCTCCGGGTTGGCCAGGAGGGCTTCGTGGCCGTGGAGGGCGCCGGCTTTGAGGCCCGGGTGATGCGGCCCGAGGGGATGGACGTGAGGGTCGGCGACGTCGGGCAAGCCGTAGGACACCACCGGGAAGGCGAACTTGTCCTTCTTGAGGAGCGTCTTGGGCTTCCGCCGCGGCCGGTACTTGTAGTCCGGGTGCTCCTTCATGTGCATGGCCCGCAGGCGTTTGGCCTCGTCGATGAAAGGCCGCTTCTCGGCTTCGCTCAGCAGCTTCCACTCGGCGCCCAGCCGCTTGGAGATCTCCGAGTTGTGCATCTTGGGGTTCTCCTGGGCCATCTTGCGCCGCTGCGCCCGCGACCACACCATGAAAGCGTTCATGGGCCGCTTCACGTGGTCCGCAGGCTTGGCCATGCCCGCGGCGGCAGCGGCAGCGGCGGCGGCGGCGGCAGCAGCGCCCAGCCCGTCGCTGCGAGCCACCCGCAGGAAATCAATGGTGGCTGCGGGGCCGGATCCGACGTGGCCTCCCCCACCCTCCTCCTCCTCCTCCTCCTCCTCGTGGGGGGGTTGGGGTCGATCCTCGCACCGTCGTCTTGACCCTTTCTCTTCTCTGCCGTCGAGGCTCTCCGCCCCGCCAAGGTAGCAGAAAAGTCCCTTTAAAAAAAAACACACACACACAAAAAAAAACTCCCCAAAAAACTCAAGTCCGCCCGGCTCCTTGCTTTGCTCCCGGCTGGGGAAGGGAAGGGAAGGGAAGGGAAGGGAAGAGCGTTCGACAGCCCGCCCAGACGAGAGTGGCCGCCTCCGCGAGCAGCGAGGAAGCCCGGCTTCGATCAAGCCGAGGGACCGGGCGACGTCGAGGGCTTCAATCCTCGGCCAAGTCAATCCAGCTTTTCAAAGGAGTCGTCCCGGTCCCAGCAAGGCCAAGCTGCTCCTCTTGCTCTCCAGGCCGGCGGCACCTGTCCGCGCCAAAGGCTCCAGCTACTTGGGGAAGGCGAGGAGGCGCCCTTCCCCGCCTGCCATGGCCGAGCTGCCCTGGAATCGGCCGAGGAAGCCGGGCGCTCCTCCCCTCCGCCTGCTGCCCCGCTTTCCTTCCGGATTCCCCCGCGGGATCCTCCCAAGCAAGCGATCGTCTCGGCCGCCAGAAGGAATCGGGGCGCGGGATGCGGCGGCGGTGATTCCCCTCCTCTCCGCCGTCCTTTTCTCCGCAAAGTTGCCTTTGTAACTTTCTCGCGCCGATCCTCCGGCTTGCGCCGCCTCTGCCCCCTTCCTTCCTTCCTTCCTTCCTTCCTTCCTTCCTTCCTTGCGATCGCGGGGCTGGAAGGCGGCGAGAAAAGTCCAACTTTAAAGGCGGAGGAGGAAGCGAGCGCTTCGGACAGGGCAAGCGCGGAAGCCCCGGGCGGCCGGACACATTCCTAGCGCGATCGGAGCGGCTCGTTCCCAAGGCTGCCTCGGAGAAGCGGACGCTGCGCGCTCTCTGTTTGCAAAGGCATTAAGCTTCCCTATTTGATGCATGGCCGGTGTGTGTATCTGAGGGCAGAGGAGGGAGGAGGGAGGGAGGGAGGGAGGAGGAGGCGGGGTGACAGCCTAGTGAAGGGGCGGCGCCGCCGGAACCCCTTTGGCTCCTCCCCTCCGGTCCTGGCTCCATTGATTAAACGTGAGCGCATTTCCGCCTCCCATTCAGTAAAGCGCGGGGCGGGGATTGAGGCGGAGCTTCCCCGGGCAGTCGGGCGCATGCGCGGTTTGCCCCCCTTCGCCTTTTAAAAGACCCTTGTTCACAAGTTTCCGAGGTTTCCCTTGGTTTTTAGCGTTTCGACTCGAGGCCGAGACCGAAACCTGGGAAAGTTCCTGGGTGTCCCGTCCAGGCACTGAAAAGGGCAGAAGGGAGGTGGGAGAGTTGGGGGGGGGGGGGGTCGTTTGGACGATGCTTGCTTCGGTTCTCACCTTCCCTTTCTCACTTTCCCTTTCTCACTTTTCCCTTTCTCACTTTCCCTTTCACTGTGAGTTGTATTGGGTTGTGGGGGGGGGGGGGGGGGCACGAAGGGAAGCTCAGCCGATCTCTTGTCCATATGTTGTACTCTTGACAATAAAGGTTTGGATTTAAATTGAATTGAATTTCGTCTCTTCTCTGGCCAGACTGCCGCGTTTGAAAGCGGGCGGCGCGGAATCCCCGCGTCCCGGAGGAAGCGAAGAGTTGACGCCGTTTATGTCCAAAGTCCCAATTTGGCGGAGTCCTGATCAGCCTTCATCGGAAGGGGGTGGGGGGGAGATTTGTCTCCCTTTGTGGCTCGGACTCAAAGGCAGAAGACACCCAGAGTCTTTTAAGGCAGGGGTCCCTAAACCCCCCCCCCCTGAAATCCAAATGCTTTTACTACCGGTTCTGTGGGCGTGGCTTGGTGGGCGTGGTGTGGCTTGGTGGGCGTGGCAAGGAAAGGATATTGCAAAATCTCCATTCTCTCCCCACTCCTGGGGGAAAGATATTGCAAAATCTCCATTCCCACCCTACACTGGGGCCAGCCAGAGGTGGTATTTGCCGATTCTCCGAACTGCTCAAAATTTCCACTACCGGTTCACCAGAACCTGTCAGAACCTGCTGGATTTCACCCCTGCTCCCCACCCCCCTCGCCGGGCCGCGGATCGGAATGCCAGAAACCGGTCCACGCAAAGAAGCGAAGCCCCATCCGTGGGATTCAGGCAACACATGAAACCACGCCCCCGCCACTCCACGGGAAAAAAAAAACCTCTCTCCACGGAACTGGTCCCTGGTGCCCGAAAGGTTGGAGGGGGGGGGCTGCTGGTCTAGGGGAAAGGTCGGAGAGGAGACACCCCAGAGTCCCGTCGTTTGGCGATGAGACGCCAGGCAGCTAAAGAAAAAAAAGGGGGGGCTGTGGGTGGGGGGGGCTGTGGGTGGGTGGGGGGCTGGGCAGAGAAAGAAACGCTTACTAAGCAAATAGGAAGATCCCGCCCACTCCAAATATTTCTCAAGCGCAGAGCCGCTGCGGCTCGCCTGTCCTGCCAATCTCGCTCGCCCCGTTACTGGGCTCGGTCCTTAACTGGCTCGTCCGCCAGAGATCCCGCCGCGCCCGGGCGCCCGGCTTTAACTCACCTTGGCGAGGCGAAGAAGCATCGATGAAGGGTGGGAGATTTCGGGGTATCCACAAGAAAAAGGACACCTCTCCTTTTTTGGGGGTGTCCCGCAATGCCACTAACTAGGATAATATGAAGCGGTGGCTGCCTAGTGGGGAGGGGATTCGAACCAGCCGCCCTCGGGGGGCTCCCCGAGAACAGAGAGAGCGGCCGAGGCTTAGAGATCCCCAAACGCTCAGTCGAGGAATAAGCCAAGCGTGTTTTTCCTCCGCTTCTTCCCCGCGTGGCAGCCTTCCAAGGGGTTTCCCTTTTTTTCCCACCACAAACTCGGCACCTCGGGTGAAACTTCAGAACTTTAGCTTGGAACAATTTGAAACTCTTCTCTTCCCACGAGACTCCCCTAAATATAGTCGCTTGGATGTCCGGTCCCTGTTAAAATGAGACAAACCGGTTATTTTGTCTTTTATCATTCAGGCTACTATCAAAAGGGGCTCCGTGCGCGGATTTGCACCTTGCACTACCCGAGAGTTGGTTTTAACCTTGGTTCGCACGGTGCGCTAAACCCCTCCAGTTACGAAACCACAATGGCTGGGTTCACATAACAGGCTAAGTCCCAAATGTCTATGGCGATTCTCAGTTATCCAGGTCATAGTTTGGAACAACCGTGGCCTGGATGACTGGGAATCTCCATAGACATAACAGGTTGAGCTAACAGGGATTAATACAGGGGTGAAATCCAGCAGGTTCTGACAGGTTCTGGAGAACCGGTAGCGGAAATTTTGAGCAGTTCGGGAACCGGTAGTGGAAATTTTGAGCAGTTGGGAGAACCGGTATTGGAAATTTTGAGTAGTTTGGAGAATCGGCAAATACCACCTCTGGCTGGCCCCAGAGTGGGGAAGGAATGGGGATTTTGCAGTATCCTTCCCCTGCCACGCCCACCAAGCCACGCCCACAGAACCGGTAGTAAAAAAAAATTGGATTTCACCACTGGATCAATACAACGTCTGAACCCATCAGTGTAGGTTAACAAACGTGTCCGGAACCATATTCTTGGGCCCTTTCATTCCGATGACCGTGAAATCTAGCGTCTGGTTGAGGTTTCTACCTCATCAGGTTGCCTATCCCGTGAGAATGGTACTTTGTCCGGCAGTGCCGAGACCCTTGTGACTTCGCCGTAGGGGCCGAACGATGCTGCCAAAACATGTCCAGGGAGATAGAAGCGACCCACCTGAAGTTGCTTCCGGCCTTTTGGAAACGAAATTAATTAGGACTAATTTTTTTTCAGAAGGGCTATATGGGGGGTGGGGAGTGGGATGGGGCCGGCCAGGTGTGGTTAGAAAAGTCAAGTTGGAGGCCACGAGGGTGCGATCGAAGCTCTATTCGTGTTTACGTGCAAGACAGCTTCGACCCCGCCGTTGGGACCCCAATTTTGACTTTTTTGATGAACCCCCCGAGCAGCAGCAGCAGCGACGCCTGAGCCTAAAAAGAGGGTCTTCTCGACGCTGTGGATCCCCGGCGCGGAAAGTCTCCAGGGTCGGAGCATCTCCGGAGCACCAATTCAAATGCCCTCTTTTATCCGCCGGAGAAGCCCCTTCCTCTCCCCCCCCTCCCACCGTCCAGCCGACCCCGTTCCCTCCGCCGAGGGGGAGTTCGACTCCGCGGCGCGCACTTTTCTAGGACTTTTCCCGCACAGGGGCATCTTTGGCCCCTCCATTCGCCGAGACTTTTAAGAGTAGCCCCCCCCCCCCTCGGCCCAGCCAGAAGAAACCTTGGAAATGCCCAGCATAGTAGAACAAACCACGGAAAGATCCAGGTTTTTTTTGGGGGGGGGTCAATTCTATTGGAGTCCAAATCGCGCGACCCTGACTGCCCCTCCTTTTTTTTTCCTCTGAGACCCCCAGACTATCTAGACTGACTAGTCTAGACTGACTAAGTGACTAGACCTTCTTAGTCACTGAGCTTGTCAATCAGAAAGGTCGACAGTTCGGCGGTTCGAATCCCTAGTGCAGGTCTCCTGCGTGAGCAGGGGGTTGGACTAGATGACCTCCAATGTCCCTTCCAACTCTGTTACTGTTACCCAGATGCTAGCTTTCCACGGAAAGCTGCGGGACTCTCAGGGAGGCTTGCAGCCCCTTTAAACCCCGCGGATCTTGGCCCTCGAAGAGACGACCCTGAGATCTAAACTGGACTCAGATTACTGGAATCGTCAAATAGTCTTATTAACTGGCAAAAGGGGAACTGGCAGCCCCGGAGCTTTTAGGCTGATTTTTTTTTAGGACTGGTTCGACAAAGAACGAGGCCCGACAGGCTATCGAGAAGCACCGATTTCTCCCGGGTGTCCCAGCCAAGCTTTCCGCGGGGTGTGTGTGTGTGGGGGGGGGGGTGTCCCTGCTGAGAAGATGCGCCAGACCAGATCCTTCCCGGCTCTCTTCTCGGTAACGAACCTTAACCCGGCTGCTTCCTGCTTTTAATACGAGGATTTGGCTTTTTTTAAACCGACGCAGAAACTATGCCTTTTATTCGGTCACCAGCCCAAGTGTTAGGTGCGTGCTTGCGTGGTGTCACTTAACAAACCGGAGATCCTGTGCATTGCCTTGAGATAGATAGATAGATAGATAGGTAGGTAGGTAGGTAGGTAGGTAGGTAGGTAGGTAGGTATATGTGTTTTTCATCTAGCCAGGTTTTTCCTAGTAACCAAGGTTTTTCTGCAGCATACATACACACACACACACACACATATATACATATGTGTGTGTGTGTGTGTGTGTTTGTTTTGTTTGTTTATTTATTTGTTTACTTATTGGTTCGATTTATATGCCGCCCTTCTCCGGAGACTCAGGGCGGTTTACAATGCGTTAAGCAATAGCCTTCATACTTTTGTATATACCTGCTTAGTAGGGCTTTCGCCACCCCCCCAAGCGGTGTTCTTTTTTATACAAAGTCAGCTTATTGCGTCCACAATCCGGGTCCTCATTTTACCTACCTCGGAAGTATGGAAGGCTGAGTCAACCTTGAGCCTGGTGAGATTTGAACTCGCAGTAATTGCAGGCAGCTGGCAGCTAAGTGCTACTTAACAGCACTTTAGTCCGCTGCACCGCCAAGGCTCCTGTTTGTATGTGTGTGTGTGTGTGTGTGTGTGTGTGTGTATGTATGTATGTATGTATGTATGTATGTATGTATGTATGTATGTAGTTATGGGGCAGGCAAGGGCTGAGACAGAATAATATTCCCCCCTTTATCCATTTTTGCAAGGGTGGGTTGTTGCTTTTTATTGGGGGGGGGGCAAGCAGCGGTTTCCGGGGTGCCCCGGAGAGCCTGGTCCGCCTCGCCTCTCTTTGCTTGAGCGGGGAGGAAAGAGCTCTCCATCCCGAGGACTTACGGGCCGGCTAATTCCCTCGCTCCGAGAGAGGGAGCTTCAGCATATGGCAAAACGTT